ATTTTATATTATATATATATATATTTTATTTTTATATATATATGTACATATACAGATTTATTTGCAATTTGTTATATTAATAACAATAAGCAAATCGTATTTATCACATATAAAAAAATCAGATTTATAACCTCAATAAATCACTAATTATATAATTACGAGAAATCTATATCATTAAATATATTATTTACTTTTCATATACTAACTAACCCTTAATTCGAAGGATATGTAGACTTATACATAAGCAAAAGCAATTGTAAGAAACTCTTGAAACTATTCTAATCGATAATAATTATTAAAATAACGCGATAATATTTTTATTTCCCGTTGGCAAAAATATTTTTTCCTAAATTCACAGCGCTGAAACTGTCGAATTTTTTAATTCGATTGTTGCACGAAAATGGTGTAACCATTATCGATCGAAGTTATCGCACAGACAAAAATGAAATTAGCCACTGTAAAATTAAACGACCTTGCGTTGGTTCTTGGATAAATCAAAGTTTACCTGACCCCAGGGTGAAATTCGCGTTTCGAAACCACGCGGGTGATTTTTATTCGAAAACCGTTGTTTTTCCCGCCGCGAGTAAGGCAGAAAAAATGATTATCCGTTTCGAATTTCAAACGAGATTCATCGAGATGATCGCTATCTACAGTGATAATCGCGGCCATTTTTCAAAGCCACGCGATCGATCCACGTGTCGGGTTAAATTTTCATACAGGAACACCTCTCTCATGAATATGCAGCACAATCAATCTAAAAATTTCACGGTTATAAAATTTATACCCGTTCGAGACCTTTTTAATTACCTAGCAGACGCGTCGCTGTTGCTTCTAGCAATTTCGCTTCAAGCATGACCTACCACACCTTTTCCTTCCTCTACCTCGTCCCTTTTTTCCACGAGAAAAACGAGATTTCTTGATTTAAGCCTCGATATTAAAGCCCCGATACCTCGCCTCCCCTCCGCGCCTTCTAATTTCCATCCACGGTACTTTCGCACTTTCTAATTAACATCGTGAGTAAGTTAATCGCAAATTTACTACCATAAAACTGTTTTCCTCTAATATCGTCGCATAAATCGTTCCATTCTTTCTTAATTGCTGTGACTATCGCATAGTCGTGTTTTGCCTTTTTATTATTTATTCAAAACGGATTTTTTAAACGCGAAATATCGATTTGGGTATAGCTTTTTATTCTAGCTGTCGTATTATACACAGGTTGTCTCTCTAGGGTACGTACTTTATTTCGGGCAAGTTTCACTGTTGCGGAGAAATTTGATTATGATTGTAATATCGTAGTCTCAAGGATCCTAAACGGAAAAGGGATATACAAGAGAAAACGAGTGAAAGTAAGTGGATAGCATCAAAAATGAACACATCGGGAAATGTTTGTCATATATAAAAACTAAGAACTCAGAACTCAGAACCCAGAAT